ACTTGGGAATCAGGAAGTCTTGATACAAAGCAATATGCAGGATGCACAATGCTAAAAGTCACCGTAATTTAGGAACAACAAACAAGAATTTCCATGAAAAAGGGGGAGTCCAGTTGTTCTGTGGTATGGTTCCTGCCCATTTAGATTGGCACGGACGCTTTTCCGCAAAAGCACTTTTTGCGGAAAAGCGTCTGTGCCAATCTAGACGCGCTTTTGCGCAAAAAAGCCCCAATCGCCATTTTTGCAATCGAGGCTTTTTTGCGCAAAACAATCTGAGCAGTCTACACTGGCCCTTTTGCGCAAAAGCTTTGCGCAAAAGGACTTTTGCCTGAACGGGAGCAGCATAGTATTTCCGCAAGAAGCACTGATTTCAGACAGTAGGAAGTCAGTGTTCTTGCGGAAATTCAAGCAGCCAGTGTAGACAGCTGTGTAGACAACCCCCCTCTTGTGCAAGAGCTGTTCTTCCTGAAAATAAACAGCAGAACGGCTCTTGCGCAAGAGGGGTTTTTGCGGAAGAAGGAGCAGTATAGACAGCTCCTTTTTGCGCAAAAGCCCCTTGTGCAAAAATGGCGGCTCATTAAGTATGCAAATGAGGTGTGGCGATATTCACCGCTTTGCCTCATTTGCATATTTTCTTGTGTAAGAGTGGGCAGTGTATCTATAGCCTAAGTCTTTTGACTCTCATATCAACATTGCAGTGGAGGAAAAAGAAACACTTAATTTACTCTCCCCCAGGGGGAGATAGAACAAAAGGTCTTTTGTTAAGTCTAAAAGGGACTTACACTGCTGTGGCTACAGTGAGAGAACCTGAATAAAATGCTATACAATCTAAAGCACCAAACCTGCTGTGAAATGGGGAGCCTCACTGAAATCAGTGACTTCAGCGAGGCTCCCTATGAGAGCAGAGGTGTGACCATGTGCAACAAGTTGCAGGAAAGGCTTATTGCCCAATCATTTTCCACTGAAGAAATTAACAAAGGTCCAATTGACTTCACCAAGAGTGGTAAAGGAACCTAAAATTACAAACTAATCCACTAATATAATAATGCCTAGCTACCATGTAGCGCATCTTCACCATCAGATCTTAAAACAACAGGCTTGTATGTGTCCTGGAACAATAAGTACATGTGATTGAGATGTGTAAGCCCTACAATGGTAGTGATAGGGTTAAATGGAGCCCAATAAGCCCATTCTGTTACCTGAAAAGGAAACAGGATTAGGGGAGAATCCGACAGGGTAGTTTCTATACAAAAGGGATGAATATAAAGGGCAGAGAGCTACAGTAGAATACATAGCCTGAGTCCAGTCCTCAGAGAAGGAGGAGTGAAAAGATTCCAGGAAAATGATGCTGGGAACTTTCAAGAAGAGGCTCCTCAGCGTTAGCCTGGACGTTGCATAGGAGTCAGCCTTCCAGAGAGAGAGGTTCTTGGGAAACATAATCCTGGCATGGAGCCTGTAGGTAGTCAGAAATAGAAAGGAGCAGGTTTGAGTTGGTGAAACACAACTTCCCAGGATGGAAAGTCGGCATAGAAGCTGTCCTGAGTTCCCCTACCAGCTCCAGAAAAGGGGGATAGGAAAGTTTCCTGAGAAGAGAAAGCAAAGACTGTATAGCCTGGTTTGGGGCTGGTGACCTGTTACAGGGCAGCAGATTCTTTACTACCCTGCAAGGAGTAAGATTGCAAAAAAGCTAACTGGAGTTGTGAGAAGAGACAAATGGTCACAGGGAATGTGTATGTGTGGGGGGTGTGGGTTTAGGGGGTAGAACTGAAGTGAAGTCACTGTAGTCCATACCCTATTTTACGGAAATGCACTGGCCAATAAGTTCATTGCATTATAGTGCTGAATGAAAATTACTTTGCAGAAGGTGATAGCTTGGCACTCATTTGCTAAGACTCTGTTCCCAGCATAAAGGGCTGACATTCCTGCGGTGGACATTAGGCAAAAAGATGTGTAGCTTCTGATGAACAAAAAGAGCTGGAATGGCAAGCTGTAAGACAGGGTAGATTCATGTTAATATAGCCCTGGCATATTAAATAATTACCTGTTCAGATTGGGATTTCCTCCCCTGGAAGGTGAATTCTAGTGAGTAGCACAGAATAAAGGCACTTGCTTCCTGTAGGGCAGCTAGAATTTTAGCCTGATTCCTATGTCTCCCATGATAGCAGCTCACCACCTTCATCTCATCATGCTAATAGTGTTGTGTTAAGGAGCCCCTGGAGTTTTAGGGAGAGCTTTGAAAATAGGAAAATGATGACAGGTCAGATGGCCACGAAGTTGAAAGAAATAGACAAAGTCTAGAGATTTTTTTCCCTCTGACTTTTGCTGGCAGCACGAGAGATATCTCTGAATACTCTGAATACTGCTCTTAAAACTGTCCTGCTTACTGTTCTTTTCATGCCACATGGCAGTCAATAAACCCTCACAGCCAGTGAATTGCTCCGTGTTACTCAGATCTTTCCTGATTGTTATCACAGAGAATGTTGTTGAGAAAGGCAGAGGGCTGTCTCTCTTGAAAGGTTCTAAAGGGTCCAAGAATCTCACAGAATGACAGCTTAAAAAAAAAACTTGGGAAAAATAATTGCCAAGATGTTTAAGATAAAAGCTTAATGCTATAATGCACATGGTGAGGGCCAGTTTCTACGTTATATTCTGGCCCCTTTGCACTAGTTGTGCACAATACAGAGTCTGGATTTAATCCACCAGCATTTAGTGCCTCATGCAGAGTGGAACTTCCCACTGCTGTAAAAGTAGTTGGACCTGGCTCCTGTGCCAGAGGCCCTGATACTAGATCTCTTCTATGTTAAACTGATCCTCCACTTGGATAAAGTCTTACAACAGTGGTGTGAGTTAGTGCAATCATCAGGCTGATATAATTCATCTTGGGATCAAACAAATGCAGATCTGGGAGGCATAACTGGTTCCGTAATGGCCTCCTCTTCCTTCGCTGTGTGGAGCTAGACACACAAAAGACCATAATCATCTGAGTTTAACTTGTCCTCTGGATGTCCCACTTGCCAGGCAGCCTTTGGCAGAGACCTGAACACTAGTAATCTGAAATGTGTACGTATGCTGTGGGATCTTCTTTTTTCCCCCCTGCACCACAGTATAAAGACAAAAAGTCCTGATGAACAAAAATCCCTTGCCGCAAACGCTAGAAAGGTTACTTGATAGGGAATTGTGTGCCGTGTAGATCCAAAAGGAAGTCAGCTGAAACTCCTGATATGCAGGTGAGGAATCAGCATAAAAGTGAGTGGATGTCTCAGCTTCTGGCCCAGTTAGTTGGCAGTTGCAGCAGAGGTTAAGAATAAGTGGGCTAATTAAAATGAGTGTTAGCAACAGTATTTGAGCTGGCTAGTAATTTCACTTAGGCCACCAAACTGGTGTCCAGGTAGAGCAGACAATGTTGGTTTTCTATGGCTCACATCTGGACCAGCGACCTAGAATGAAATGAGTGATGGAGAAGCGGGTTCCGTTCCAATTACAGCTGGATTTACAGATGAGGAAAAATAGTCAATATAATGACTATTGAACCTCAGAAGAATAATATTTAGGGGGGACTTGACAGAAATAATTAAGTGTATGGAATCTGCTCTGGTTGCCATGCAGTACCATCTTTTTATCATATCCCATAAGACGAGGATTTTTTTTTTGAAGCCCACAGGAATATTTATTTAAATAAGGGAAATATTGAATCCTGTGTCACTGACCTTAGTCACAGGCAATCAGAGTTGAGTACAGCAGAGTAATTTAAAAGAGTAGTTGAACAGTGTAACAACCAATACTACTACATGTAGGTAGGGAGGAGAGTAACCACATTTTATGCTTCATGGGGAGAGCTGATTGTTATGGGTCTGGAGGTTATCTTCCCCTCACCTCCTTCCCCACCCTTCTCAATGATAGCACTGCACAAATAATCGGGGAGGGGACTGGAAATAGAGAGGCTTCTGCAGGGAAGACTATGAGAATTGCTCCAGCTAGAAAGGGCAGAGTGGCTTGCTAAGGCTGTGACCATACAAGGGGAGTGTGGGCTGCACCCTAAGACGTTTGGGTTGAATTTTGAACTTTAATAAATCAACCCCTAAGGAGGGCTTTTGTAAGTGGAGTAGAAAAGCCATGAGTGGAGTTCATTTGGAGAGCCCCAAAAGGAAACTTTGCCATATATTAAAAGCCACTAGCAAGTCACCATCCCCTCCCCTTTCCCAAATGGAGAAAAACTTTTTCTTAGCTCAGCCTCTCTCTGCTTTGCACATGAGCCTGTACAGCTGAAGTATGAAATGAATACCCACCAGAAGGAAGAAGTAAGGGGATCTCTGCTCATTGGGGTTGGAAGGAAATCCTAGAATCCCAAGAGGGAGAGAGGATGCTGACCAGGTAGCAAGAAGGGCAGGGAGTCCCTATATGCTGCCCAGAAGATGACCTCTGTTTGACACTGACTAGCAAAGTCTGTCTGTATAAGTTATTGGTGTGTATATACAGGACAGTAGACTTCTGATAATCCGGAATTCTTGGGACGTAGGTGGTGCCGGATTATCGGATATGCTGGACTATCAAGAGGTACTATAAACTGGTTATATACATACACAGCATATACTGTATATATAGTGTTTTTAACCCTTTTTATTGTAGCACAAGCACTGTTCAGCATCACACAATACCAGTGGCAGACTGACTCGGTCCCATCCAGTTTCGTTCGGTTCAGCTACTGCTGCTGCTGCCTTGTGACTTGTTTTTTGCTGAAGCTCACTCACTAGGCTCTTGCCATTTTGATGCTGGACTATCGGGAGTGTCGTACAATTGGATGCTGGACTACTGGAGTTTTACTGTATTATATTTTGTGCAAAAGAGGGAAATGAGAGTTGTTACTGCCATTCACCCACTGGACATTGATTCTGGCTCATGACCTAGGCTGCTCAGTGATCAATAGGGACTCTGTGATGTAATGAAGGTTTATGACATCAGGAGTTTGTTGATAGGCTTGTCATCAGGAAGTGCTAGTCAAGCCAATAATTGCTCACTCATTTAAGTGACACCCAGAATTAGGGTCATGAGGCTTTACTTCACATACCCTTGCATGAGAGTTTAAGATTTCAGGACCCAAAACAAGGATTGAGTGGGGTCATGAGGAGAGGATTCTTCACATTCTTTCCTGCATGACTCCCCTCCACACCATTAATCAAAGATGTCTGACGGACAGGATTCAGGAAAAGGAAAACTGAGTACTCTTTCTGATGTGACAAGATTTAACTATGCCTTGAAGCAGTTCCAGATCCTGATTGGAAAAACAGTTGCCCAGAAGAGGGAGGAAAGAATAGGGATGTATGTTAAAGATCAGGGTAAGAGGCATTATCTTTCTGACTGAGAGACTTTAACTTTGGAGTGAAGACTGGGTAGCTAGCTGGGACAAGCTAGGATTCTACAGAAGACCCCAAACTGTCATGTAGGCCATGGCTTGCCTTCCCTATTTTTAAGGGAAATACGCAGATTGCTCTATGAAAAATATTTTCTCTTGGAAGCTAAAACCTACAGCAGTCTTATTATAGCCAAAATCTGTTACTGTGCCATTTACCCACAAAATCTTATTCTGACTGGCAGCATCCCCACATAGGAATTCCCCATAATAGTACTTCCTTAATCCTTAATGTGGTGCTTTGTGTTTTTGGCACATGTACCAATTAAATGTGCAAGTCAAACAATTTCTATTACCATAAGTAACTCAACCTCATATAGGTTGTTACCACTGCAGGCCAGTAATTTTAAGTGCATAAAAGTAAGCTTTATCACAGAACTCCCTATGACTTCAGGATACCCTGGGCGGGGAGGTTAGCAGAATGTTCTCTTAACACCTCTCAGAGTAAGCCAGAATTGGGGATGGAACACTTCCACTATGTTTTCCTCCTTACCCTGCAGGTTTTTTAGTCTGCATTGTTTGTTTGTAAACTACTTTACAACCTATGAGATTTTTGGAAATTAAGAAGATTGAACAGTTTTTGGCATGGATGCTATAATAAATACAACAAGAAAATTGAGAACTTGAACATTAATGATGCTGAAGTTGAAATTAAGCCATGAGCCAAATGCAGTACCATAGAAATGTAGGGCTGGAATTGTCCTCAAGAGGTCATCTAGTCCAGTAGCCAGTACCAAGGCAGGCCCAAGTAAACCAAGATGACCCCTGGCAGGTGTTTGACCTGTTCTTAAAACTGTAATGATGGAGATGCCATAACCTCCCTGAAAGCCTATTCCAGAGCTTAACTATTGTTATGGTTAGAAAGTTTTTTTCATATTATGTAACCTAAATCTCCTTTGCTGCAGGTTACACTCATTACTTCTTGTCCTACCTTCAGTGGGCATGGAGAATGATTCATCACCATTCTCTTTGTAATGGTCCCTAATATAGTTAGAGTGTTACCTGATTCCTCTCCTCCTCAGTCTTCTTTCCTCAAGAAGTAAGCACATTTTTAACCTTTCCTCGGAGGTCAGATTTTCTAACCCTTTTATAATGTTTGCGGCTTTCTTCTCAGCTCTCTCCAGTTTGTCCATATCTTTCCTGAAGTGTGGCATGTGGAATTAGACATGGTAAACCATCTTAGGCCTCACCAGTGCTGATTACAGTGGGAAAATTTCTTTCTGTGTCTTATACAAAACATTCTTGTTAATACACCTCAGAATATTAGCCTTTTCACAACTGCATTACGTTGTTGACTTATCTATCTTCCCTTTTTGATGCACTATAACCCCAGACTCTTTTTAGCAGTCCTAATGCCTATCCAGTTATTCCCCCAATTTTAGTTGTTCAATTCACTTTTCCTTTCTCAATTTAGTATTTTGTACTTGGTCTTTATTAAATTTCAGTTTGTGGAATTCAGACCAATTCTCCAATGTGTCACGGTAGTTTTGAATTCTAATCCAGTCTCCAAAGTGCTTGCAATTCCTCCCAGCTGGGTGGTAACTGCAAATTGTATAAGTATACTCTCTACTCCATTATCCCAAATTTGGCTAGTACTGGAGCCAGTACTGACTCCTAAAGTCCCCACTAGGTGCACTCTCCCAATTTAACAGTGAACTTTTGAATATGGTCTTTCAAAGAGTTGTGCACCCATTTTATGGTATTTTCCTTTAGATACCTTTCCCTAGTTTGCTTCTGAAAATATCATGTGCAACTGTGTCAAAAGTCTTCCTAAAATGTAGATCTGTCTCATCTACTACTCCCCTTCCTGCCATTCACTGAGTCAACAACCTTGTCAAAGAAAGAAATAGAAGAAGAAACAGTTTGCTAGTGCTCATCTCTGATGGACTTGTTATGTTTTATTATTCTTGTTCCAATACAGATGAAATAGATTATGATAAATTCTGTGAGATAGTACAAACCCTCTTTGGTCCAGAAGTGAAGGATCAAGATGTTAAGACATTTTTCAGGAAGATTAGCAATAACCCTGATGGAAGGATAGAATGGTGTGAGGTAAGATATAACTATATAACTATAATTATATATATGTGTGTGTGTGTGTGCCTGTGCAATTATGTAGTTACTGATGCTATGGAAGGAGAATGGATTTATGGATAATTTACATAATCAAGGTGACGTTCCATGTAATTATATTACTGCTTATATAACTCTTTCATCTGTTAAAGGCCAAAATATTTTTTTAAAGGATCTGGCCTTCAGGCTGTATGGAAAATTAGCTAAAAGTATTGTTCTGGTTGGTTAGAGTGTAAGTGAGAAGTAAAATGAGATGGATTGTCTTAGGGAATCTAATTTGTACCAATATGAGTCTTTATCTAAGTCTTTATAAAGTCTTTATGAGTCTTTATAAAACCCAATCATAAATACAATTTTGACAAGCTGAGAAAGAAAAAGGAAGCATTTATTTTTAGTGTGGCAGTGAACAGTTAAAAATACACATATAACCAACAGTGTTAGGAACAAATTTTGCCTTTGGATGTACACACGTCTCCAATAGAGCATGCACGGTACAGAAGAGGAGAGATGAATTTGTCTCCTGGACTTTTTCCTTTGTAAACTCTGCTCTCATTCAGGGAGTTATTAAGTATATCAGGGTCAGATCTCCAAAACGTTGAGCATCTACTGCAAGATACTGACCTGGTAGCTCCCATTGATTGGGAGAGGCAAGGGGGGGAATCTTGCAACATGTGACCCTTCTGTGCTGTGTTAGGGTTGCAATAGTCATTGTTCATGGTAGAATTTAACCAACAATTACTATGCTTCTAGGTGCAAAAATTAGCATCTAAAGACTGGCTCTGCCCTCGGGAAAATCTAGCTTCAGTGGGAATTGTACTTCAGTATGAAAATGCAAGTTTGGTCCAAACCCTCACATTCAGGGACCTGAAAGAATGTTTAGGTGCACAAATACCTTCTGTAAAGGATTGTCCAGTTTTTAAGAGCCAGCCCATAGGTACTAAGATGAGTGTTCAGAGGTAGACATTTATATTTCCTTATAAGGCACATGTATTTTAAAACTAGCCCAAATTTAACCCTTTAGCAGTGGAGGGGGAAGGTGCAGGGAGCCAGCAGCTGCTCCCTAACTTAGGGTTACATAACACCAGCACAAATTATAGCTGTCTCTGCACAGCCTTAATTTATACTATTTATGTGAAGCTCCTCAAGGAATTTATGTCAGTCAAGGATCAAGCATGGTACATCTCTGCTCAGTCCTACCCATCCCATCCAGGGATAGGGAAGGAGTCTCTGATGCACCCCTTCCTTTCCCACTGTGGAAAGAGGGGCAATGGATGCAGTAGGTGATGGACCTTTTTCCACCAGCTCTCTGCTGAGAGCTTTTCTGTGCAAGAGAGAATTCTCCATGGACTATCTCCAGCCTATTTAAGGACTCTTATTATGCCACAAAGCCACATTAGGGCTTATCTACTCTTAAAAATGCTAGAGCAGCACAGCTACACTACTGTGGCACTTCATTATGGACACTACCCAGGCTAGAGTAGACCAGGCCATCATGGACTGCAGAATCCAGCTCCCTGACTCTAGTGGGTTTGCATGAGTGTATCGAAGGGCAGAATTTGGATTGGACAAGAAGCAATGGGCTTAAATTGCAGCAAGGGAGGTTTAGGTTGGACATTAGGAAAAAGCTTCCTAACTATCAGAGTGGATAAGCACTTGGAATAAATTGCCTAAGGAGGTGGTGGGATTTCCATCATTGGAGATTTTGAAGAGCAAGTTTAGAAAAGCATCTATCAAGGATGATCCCTAGATAATACTTAGTCCTGCTATGAATGTAGGGGACTGGACTAGATGACCTCTCAAGGTCAGCCCTATGAGTCTATGACTGTAATGACTTTCAGTTTATTGTCTGAGTACAATGCACCTTATGTCCACTGACACAGTTGATGCATGGTGCAGATTTCTGGCTGGCCTCTTAGGGGATGAGGTTAAGGGAGAGGGACTTTGTCCTTCTCCCGTTGCACCTGCCCTCAGGAATGCTTGGCCCCTTTACCAGGTCTGGCCAGGGAGTGGAAGGGGCAGGACCAGCCACTTCTCATGCCAGTCAATTGAAGTCGCTGCTCAGAGCAGCATAGAGGCTACCTGAGAGAGAACTTGGCTTGGGCAGTATCAGGCCAACCTCCACCCAGACCCAACTACCACAGGCTGTGTGAAGACAGCCAGAGTCACCTCTGCCCTCAGCACATTTTTGGCTCACTCAGTCCCTATCCCTGGCAGCTAGGCCCATGTGAGAGGTGGGGGGTTAGGGTTGATCCACTATCACCCCCCAAGCTGATGAACTGGACAGAGCAGCAACCCATAGCAGCCAGCTTCAACTGGCATGAGAAGTGTCTCCCTCTTGTTGCCTTCCCAGGTCAGGGAGAGAAACTGAATATTCTGAGGGAAGTTGCAGCAGAAGAAAGCCAGAGCTCCTTCTCCTCCCACCCCCACACCACCCCTAGTAGGTAACTGTGGTGTGGCAGGGAGAAGGCTACGGCCCTGGGCAGAGGAGATGTGGAGTAGTCACATGTCCTCTTTAGATTGTATCCCCCCTCCTCAGTATGGGGAGGCATGAGTCATTGAGGTCCACTGAAGCTCATTCTTAGCTAACTTGAGTCAAACCAGAAATGTACCCAGGATAACTAAAGGCATCCACTGCCATGTTTGATCGGTTAGAACTATTCTTAAAATGAAAGGAGCTGGTTAGATATGGCCGTAATAAAGTCAAATGGGTTTGGTATCGTTCCACCATATTGTGCATAGGAGGAGTTCTGTTTTGTTTTATTTTGGTTGATATCAACTGTTTAATGGTGGCTGCAAGCCAGACAATTCTGGAGGGAGGCAGTATTCTCTAGTGTTTAGAACAGGCAACTAGAAACCAATATTCTTGGGCTCTCCTCCAAGTTCTACCACCGGCTTGCTCTGTGACCAGTCACAAGCCTGGCTCTTGGTTATCCCTCCCTCTTTTAGGATTCTCCCCTTCAAGCCTCATATCCATCCTCAGCTTTCCCTTCTTCCTTCTATGGCTGCTTTATCTCTTTTGCCCTGTAGTTTGTCTCTCAGTAAAATAAGGATGGTCCTCTTCTGCCAGCCAGAAGAACCTTTGCACTCCCTCTCTCAGCAGTGGTCTCACGCATCACAGAATCTCTACTATCAATGTCTCTCTAGTCTGCGTCTGCACTTCTGACCTGTCTTTGGCATCCTCTCCTGGTTGCATTGCCATCAGCTTCAATTTCATTTGGCCAAAACAGAGCACCTTCCCTCCCACCTCCTTCCTTTCTCAGTCACTGACCCCTCACCATCTTCTTGTGACTCAGGCCCCAAGGCTGGGATTCTGTCTTTGACTCCCGCACTCTCCCACGGGTGGAGAGGCAGAAATGGAGAAATGGCACTTCAACTCCATAATCTGAACAGTTGTCAGTGTGTCCACTAATTTTATGTATGAGATCTTGCACTCTTTGTATGTCACCTGCATGCACTTTGGGGTGGACACTGGGTCTTTGTATGTGTTTGGATGGCATCTTACCACAATGTCTACAGTGCAATCCTAAGTTTGACTGCAGCATAGTCAGACATACCCACATGAGTGCTGATAAAAATAGCAATGAAGGCGTAGCAGCGTGGGCTTCAGTGAGAGCAAGCAATACAAACATATAATCACTGTCCCAATGTATCTGTACAGACTGTGTTGCTGCATCTACGCTAATATATGTAACCATGCTAGCATGGCTAAAGCTACTCTGGATATATCTATTGCTGCTGTAATCAGGATTTGGATTGCAGTGTAGACATACCTAAAAAGGGCCCCAGTCTGTATTGGGGCCTCTAGGAGCCACCACCTTGTAAATATTAAATAACAACTGACATATTCAATTATAGCTCTTCAGCCCAAAACAAATCTTCTAATGTTTCTTCAAAAGGTTGTATGCTACTACTAAAAATAGTCAAGGGATTTAATTATTTTTAAATGGCAAGAATCAATGCTTTGCCATGGTTTAGCATCAGCTATTTATATAAGAATTGTTGGCAATACTAAGGTTGATTTACTTCAGAGATGGTAGTGCTGTGAAATTGCAAAAGGAATCACTAGGGTGAGACTGCCAAGTGTCACTTAAGAAAACTGTATAGGTAAGTGAGCCTCCAATTCAGGTGTTGTTACAAGGAGAGACAACTGCAGAGCAGCAATAATGGGGGTTAGAAGGAAAGATGTATAGGGCTGTGATTGACAGTTGATTGCAGTGTCATTAAAAGTGGGAATGACTGAGGTCACAGCAATGGCATGAAAGATGAGAGCACTAAGTTGCCCAGCCAGACTATGCAGAATGTTCTCTACATGGCTCTAAGGGGCATAAATCAGAATTGTCAGGATGGACAATTGATGCACTAAAAGAGAAAATGATTAGGTGAGAAAAAAGTGCTAAGATTTGTCTAGCTTCTTGATATGCTGGTTTTAGGACTAGTAAAAGAAGGTAAGTGAAGAGACTTTGATCCTGGGAACCTAGGAACAATTCCAGTTTTTTCCTCTCAGATTTAGAGATTTTTTCAAACCACACAGGAAGGGATTAGATGGCTGAGTAGCAAAGTCAGCTGGGCCTTCTAATTCATAATGAGGAGAGGAGGAAAGGAGTGACAAGTTTTGTAGCACAGAGAGATGGGAGTCATGTCATGAGGAGACAGCTGCTCTGTTTTTGGACCCAGAGCATGGAGGGATTTCCATTTTGGAACCTTTTCCACCCTGGAATGAAGAGGAACTAGACCTTTTGTTTCTGTTTTAAGAGCCCACCTTGCAACAGACATCTGTGTAATGTGTCTAGGTTTTGTTTTTGTTTTTGTGGGGTTTTTAAAAATCCCTTGTTTCATGGTCTTCCGTATTATCCCATGCCCCTGTTTTTCACATAAAGTTGGGGGGTGGAAGTGGACCTCAAGGCTTGTCTGATACAAATCCAGAAGTTTAAATGTATATTTGATCCTCTGTGACCAAAAACAGTTCCAGGTCTTAAAAGATCACTACTAAGTAATATATTTGTTGTTTCAGTACTTCTTCCAATCCTATCCTTTACAAGGAAGTGCAGAAATGCGAAAATGCATAAGAAATTTAAGGCTTTTGCATGCAAAATATCAATGAGAGAGCTACACTCAAAGGTTTTTTTTTCATTTTAATAGAATTATTATTTGCAGTAGCACCCAATAAGAGCGGGGTGTTTTCCAAACACTCAAGAAAAATACACAAGCTAAGAACGAATAAGTAGACTGTGATCAGGTGAAGAAGAATAACAGTAGGTAATATATATACATTTAGTTATAGATATATAAAAAAAACTGATTGTTTATAGAAAAATTGTTAATTCTGAGCAGAATCTGGTGAATGCTTATCTTTATGCATATATTCATGTTTGAGGAATTTTTATGTTTTTTTTAAGATCTTTGGCTATTTTATAGTAGAAGGAGATGCCCTTGCTTCCCAGCTAGATGAAGAAAATATGGTTTTCCTGGTGTCCCGAAGACAGCGGATTACAAAAGCAGGTGCCATCTTTTAATGTTAATTCCAAACTTTTTTTTGAGGATGCAATGATGAGATCACACTGCTGACAAAGTTTATGTACACTTCTTGTTCTACTATATTAATAATATATCCCCTTTTTAATCCTAGTCTCCATCATTGTCCTGTTTGTATCTGAAGATTTCTCGCCAAATACCTTGAGCGCATGGGCCTTGCCTATTCACCCACTTTCTTAAATTCTTCTTGATTTCTTCTTTTATTATTCTTTTTAAATGACTAGACCATCTGACCCAAACGGCCCCTTAATAAACTTCTTCTGCTTTCCCCACCCATCCCCACATTCCTCTGCAGCTCGTTATATAGAACCAGCCTCATCCTCAAGATATTAATATTTGAAAATTCAATATGACTATATAAAGCCAGCTTAGAATAATCTGCATTCTTGTCTATTACATCTCTGAACTCTGTCCTTTTATATTTGTGAGTGAGGGAAGTATTCCTAGCACCTTATTCTTAGTTATGTATTTTGCCTAGTCTCCGTAGATTTCTATACCTGTGAGAGAAAGAAAAATGTTATTTCATTGGCAGGTGTCAAGAGACGAGATGTGATTAAGTGCATAGCAAAGGTGCCACAGCTGGATTTCATGGTAACAGCATCTCAGAAAGGAATGTTAACAATTTTTAACAGCCAGGTAATTCTGATTCATGCTAGCTTTTTCTTTATCCCAGTGTTGGTCAATATATATTGTGAACTGAAAAAGTATGAAACCAAACTCCACACTTATATGTAAAAGCTACATGTCTTTTTAACAAGGTTCTGATACAATTTTCAGTGCTGAGGCAAATATTCATTCAATTTATTTTTAGTGGCTTTTGCTTGCTTCCAAGCTTGCAATAGTTGTTTGAAAGTGTAGACATTTAAATTTTCAAAATGTGATTCTCAGAAACTGTAAAACTTTTTCCAAAAACTCAGATGGCTTTTTTGGTGTTTATTTTTTATTTTTTTTATTTTTACAAAAAAGCACAATTAGCAGTAAAACTTATTGCTACATATGTAACTAATAGCAGGGAGTCCAAAAAGGATTGTATATTTAATAGTAGGGAGCCCAAAAAAGATTAGATATTTATATGGCTATTTGAGAATATCCAGAGTTTATTTAGTTTAAAAGCACATTTACATCCTTGTACTTCAGGGTATTTACCAGCCTCTTGAAACTTTTCCATAAGTGTATACTCTGGACTCATGTCACAATTTGTGTATGTCTTCTCCGCCACCCTATTGCTGTCAGTCATGTGCTGCCATGCCCAGTCTCAAGCAGGTTACATTTTTTTCAGAAGCAAGTAAATGAAGAGAAAGCAGCCTTGTAACTTGCTCTTTGCTTTTAGGCTTCAAGGTCACCTCTCCTCAGGGTCTCTAGTGCCCTACACCTGACAGCTTCCCAGTTCTAGCTTCCCATTTTGGCTCCCTTCCTGAAACAGTAGCCCCAAGGCTGACTCCTTGAGTAACTGGCTCTTTGCTCTCCCCACAGAGATTAGATTCCCTCCACCCTCTTCCCCTGGCACAACTTGTCCCCATCACTACCTGCTCCCTGGTCTTTAACATCCCTTCACTGGTCAAGATGGATTGGGCTTATCTGCTCTGACAGACGGTACTTGGCCCTGTCTACTCACTAGAACCACCTGCCCTATGGCAGGTTTCTTCTAACTTTTGACGCATCTTCTATTGACTGCCATCTGAGACAGGATACTGGACTAGCTGGGTCCTTGAGTCCTCCAAAAAATCACTCTTGGTTAATTTAATACAAGATCAGGCACTGACTGGCTTTACTTCTGTAGCACCATTTTTCTATTATCATCATGAAATTACATACCTATGGGATACTAAAACAGAAATATGTAGCTGTCACAGTATATTTCTGTCACTGAGAAACTTACGTTTATGTCTAAATGCTTTCATGGAAGTTACTTGTTGACTGCATGTCACTCATCAGAGGTGAACTCACATGCAGAAAGTAAACTCTGAATAAGGGACCTGCAGGCAGACCATAGATCACAGCTGCTCCAAGACCATTTCTCTAGGCTGTGGGCTACAAAATCAGCTGCAGTTCCTCTTTTCCCCCTTAGCATTCTGTGTTTGTGCATTGGGAAGCCCACTTCTGCAATGTCTGCGGACATTTGAAGTTGCATCACCTCCTCCCTCCAAGCATAGGTAACACAAGGTTTATGTGGATTTAGTGATTATATTAGACTCTATTGGGAAATTCTCCCCAAGCTGCAGTATCTGACATTTTAAAGTCTTGCAACCAAATTCAGCCCTGCTGTAAAAAGACACCACTCCCTTCAAGTTAACGGAGATGTGTCAGGATGGAATTTCTGTTTTGAGAAATTTCTGGCATAAAAGGTCTACGAGTCTTGCAGGGTTAGAACAATGTGCTCTCTTAGTACTCTCCAGTAACCAGCTTAGAATCATAGAGTTAAAGAAAGCAGTTCAGACTCCAAATGCTATGTAAAGCCACATTTGCTAAGGAGTTTAAGACTGATAGCGATGTTGACCGGGACACCACTTCCTACAGCTCCCATTGGCCAGGGATCTGCAATGGGAGTTGCGATCGCCCACACCTGTGGAGGCGCAGATAAAGAAAGTGTCTCGTGACCAGATAGTGGCTTGCCCTGATAGGCTGTGAGCCAGAATTTGAAAACCCCTGGTTTAAGATACTCCATGAATTGTTAAAGAAATATCCTCCAACCATGTTATAAAATACAGTGGAAATAAATCACTCTCATCTGGGCAGATTGGTTGCATTCTGATCACAGAAATGACAATGTCACAATATTATAAAAATGCAGTTAGGTTTTAAAGCAGTGATAATACACTCCAGGGGTTTCAATTAATTAGAACATAACACTCTTGAAAGGACTGAAGTTAGACAACCAAAGATTCATGTGGGTAATTAAATGCCAAAGCAAAACTGAGGCATTTGGAAACTACTGAAATAATTTATTTGAAAGCCTGGGCTGCTGTCTTCAGGAACATTATCCCTCTTTAGGCACCAGGGCAAAAGGCTTCCACACAGTACAGCAATAAAAAATATTTTTTCCCTGTGCTATTTAGAAAGTTATGTGCTGCCTCCTCCTCCGAGTTTCCATTGACGTCACTTTGACATCAGTGTCTCTATTTCATTTCCAGAGTTTAAATGATTTTACATCTTGCTCTTTGAAGCCGTGCTTGGAGATTTTGAGTCATGCTGGCGTAACTATGTATGCCGTCTGGAAAATGATGGAGGCATTACAATTGCTAGCCTCTGGCCATCTCACACTCTGATTTCACTTACCATGGATTTAAACAGGTGTAATAACATTGGTTTCATTGGAATTGCTCTGGGTTTACACCAATGCCAGTGTATGTCTGTATGGCTGTCAAAGATGTGATTGCAGCACATGTACACATACACACACTAGCTTTAGTCTAGCTAGCAGGTGTACCGATAGCTTTGAAACCACAACAGCACAGGTTTCATCCTAGGCTGTACAAACCCTGAGTCTCTGCATTGAAGTTCATGCCTCCTTGGCTTCATTGCTATCATATGCACACTGACTAGATCAGAGCTCGATCTATATCTGTGTACCCGGCAATCATATTACCAGTTGCCAGGTAGACAGACCCCAAATGAGAAGAGAATTTGTTTCTTTAGCTGTGAAATCAGTTGATCTGATTCCAGTTCTAGCCGAGAGTGTTTCCCCCTCCTCTCCATCAACAGTGTTAGCACCTTTTTCAGCAGCCTTGGTCCAGAGACCAAGGATTCAAAAGGAACAGCCTCACTGTTTCATCTTTAGTGGTGTTTCCTCCATGTCAGCAGGGTCATATGTTATGAGGAAGCTTGACTTGTAGCTAAATGTATGGGTCTTGCATTATGCATATGGAGGCCATTTGTCTCCTGGGTTGTCAGTTCATGAGCTCTGCCTTCATGAATAGGCTTGGGTTTTATTTATTTTAAGGTTTTTATTCTCCTTAATAAGACACGTGAACTGGTGCTACGTTTTAAATGCACACATTTCCCAATCCAATCAGGGGCAGCCTTGTACAATGGTTGCTGTGATGTGAGTAGTGAATTTCTGGATCTTTTTTATGCTACTTTTGGGTACTCATCTAAGCAGAAACATTCTTCCTGGTATAATAACTTGAGGACAAATTCTGTACTCTATACTAGTGTAAATCCAACATGCATCCATCAACATCCGTGTGTGCACTAAACATATACAGGGCATCCCTGCCATATGTTGCCCCGGTATACATCAGTTCCACACTACAGTCGTTGACACTTGTAGTAACTGTTGCGTTATAAGTCCTCCCATTCTCCGCTCTTATGTCGAACACACAAAAAAGACCAATTGGTGCAAATGCCGCGAAAAAAATTCTCTGCTTTCCATCGTTTCACTATCCGCCCACGTTTTTTGGAACGTATCTCGGACATGGAGCGGGGATACCCTGTAGTTTGATGTAGTATTCTCCTGGCACCAGTGTCCTTTCACAAAATAGCATTCAGGAGTCAAAATAGACTAGGTAATTGCATGGGAATCTGTAGCCTTCCAGGTCAATTCCTTCAAAAAATCTATCCTCATGTTGAGATTTTGGGACACTGAGCGTTGAAACTGAGATAACTGGAAGCCAGGGGAGGTAGAAATGCCCTATGAAGAAAAAAAATGTTTTACAAATGAAAATAGAAATAGTAAAGAGGCTTCTAGTCATCCTACAGTGTATCTGTTTGCCTCATTCTACACTAGTAAAAGAATGGAAAATAAATGATTCTGAGCAAATTATTGCTTTGACAGCTGCACATGTCATTTACATTACACGACTCGCAGACTGATTGATTCAGATTGGATGGGTTAAGACAGCTTTCAGCACCATTACTTAATTTATCAAGTGACAGACTTCCATCATCCAAGTGTGCGTGTGAATTGTTTGGATGTAATTATCTTCCAAATTAAATAAAGCATAGTAGCTTCTCTAAAGACTGAGTTCTGTAATATAAATCCTGCAGAGTCTCCTGCATATCTGCTGCTATTAAAGTTTAAAGCAGAGGCAAAAGAAAATTAATTATTAATTTCAAAACCAGTAAATTCCTCTCAAAGAGCCAAATTTTATTTTCTTTCTCAGATGTATTTGGTTCTCCCAGGCTGGCAGCATTTGCCTGAAGCTCTCTAGATTGTTAGCAAACCTACTAGCAAAGGGTTAAATTTAAGGCTGATAACCCGTCTTATCAGGTATAAGGAAGGGACTTTCTACAGAGGGAGGATCTAGGGTGTAGCCTGATGAAGAGATGTAGGTGCACCCATGCCTGGGCAGAATCATGGGGGTGAAATCTGTTTTCAGTTTCTTCTCTAAGAAAGCCAAACCTCAGGGAGCTAGTGCATTGTTAACTCTACACAGGATGTAGAGTTTATTTTAGGGTCAATTTAAAAAGGCAAATTTCTGCTCTGTCACTCACTACAGCCAATAAGTCTTCCCTACTTGCATCTCCAAAGGCAGAATTTGATCCTCGATTTTCTGTGTATGATTGAAGCTGCCAGTAGAGGGTTTGGGGCACATGTGAAAGGAACTTGTTGCAAACGGATGATGGTGAGATCCTGGTTTGAAGAGATAGCTGCCTTCCTGTGGGTTTGCAGGACAGAAAAGTTCATCTGGGATTCTCACTCTTGCCAGCTGAATAGTTCCATGTATAAATAAAGAAACTAACTGGTCTTCTTGGGAGCCAGCTTGCATCAGCCTTGCATCATGACAAGACTTACCGTGGGCGTCATTATAAAAATGGACATATTGCACTTCCTTTTTGTCCCTCAAGGATCTCAAAGTGCAGATAGAGGGCAGTCAGTGAATCCCATTTTACAGAGACTGCATCTCTCTCTTTGTTGCTCTTAGTCTCTGGTAGGCTAGAGACTGTCCTGGTATTGAACACTGAGTCCCGCATCCCAACTGATGTGTGATCAGGATGCCATTTCTCCCAGTATTCAGGTAGGTATGTTGGTGTGGGGCTGGCAGTCTCCATACTTGGCTCTGCACAGATCCCCAGAAGCAGTGACATGTCCTTCCCTCAGCCCTTATGCTCAGGAATAGCTACCTTAATACTGTGTACTGTTCATAGAATCCTAGGGCTGGAAGAGACCTCATCGAGTCCAGCCCCTGGTCCAAAGCAGGATCAACCCCCATCTAAATCATCCCAGCCAGGGCTTTTCAAGCAAGGACTTAAAAACCTCTATGGGTGGAGATTCCACCACCTCCCTAGGTAACCCATTCCAGTGCTTCACTACCCTCCTAGTGAAATGGTATTTTCTAATATCCATCCTAGACCTCCCCCACTGTAACTTGAGACCATTGCTCCTTGTTCTGTCATCTATCACTACTGCCTCTCTCCATCCTCTTTGACACCACCCTTCAGGTAGTTAAAGGCTGCTATCAAATCGCCCCTCACTTTTCTCTTCTGCTGACTAAATAAGCCCAAATCCCTCAGCCTTTCCTTGTAAGTCATGTGCTCCAGCCCCCTCACCATTCCTGCCCCTAGTGCTGACTCCACAGCTCCCATTGGTCAGGAACCATGGCCGATGGGAACTATGAGGATGGTGCCTGCAGGTGCTGGCCACAGCAGTAGCACACACAGCCGCCTAACCCCACCTTCACCCAAGAGCTGAGAAAGAGGCATGTTGCCACTTCCGGGAAGCTGCCCAAGGTAAGTGCTGCCTGAAGCCTGCACCCCCTTCTGTGTCCCAAGCTTGAGGCCCCCTCCTGCATCCACACCCCCTCCCTCAGCCCACTCCTTGCAGCAGGGATGTGATTGGGGCTGTAGCTGGAGCTATGCATCCCTATCCCACATCTTTCATAGTGGCTAGAGCCAGGCCATGAGCCCCTGCCCCATGGCTTGCAGCAAGGGCCATATGACCCTTCCTTGTAGCTTCCTAAGGTTTCTGGCCATGTGCCTATGGCTGCCCCCCTCACCTCCACCACCTTGTATCCCAATATTTTACTTTTCCATCTGGTCATGCTACTGACAGACTGAACAATTGAATACAATAGTCCTAACATCAAGTGTTTCACCCTCCCTCTCCCCTCCCCGCACACACACCCTTTCAGATGAAGAGAAAACAGCTGCACTTAGTGGACTGTAACTTGAAGTCTTTAAATCAAGATTTGTGGACTTCAGTAACTCAGCCAGGGAGAATGGGCCTATTGTGAGAGTGGGTGGGTGAGGTTTTGTGGCATGAAATGGGCAGGGGTTCAGTCCAGATGATCAGTCGTCCCTTTTGGTTTATGAGGTGTGGTTGGTTATTTCATTTGTTTCCAGGCCCTAGAAAAAGCCCAGTGACCGACTCTGTCTGTGATGATTATGCTCAGATTTTTAATTCCATTGCCAGCTGTTGATTATCTTTTTCTGGCTTTGTTTTGTTTTCAGATGAGGATGCTGACAAGCACAAACATTCCAGTAAGTATATTTTTCCATTCTAATTAGATAGAATTTTCAATTAAAAATCAACAGTTAATGAAGTGAAATAATTAGAAAGTAAATATTAGTCTAACACTCCTCCTCTGCTTGAGTCTCCCTCATAGTTTTGCGTCGTGCTGCATGTCAGGTCAGACTGGTTCAAGTCTTTCCTCACAGTTACAGAGAAGGTTGGGTATTTGTTTTCCCTAGAGGAAGGATGCCTCAGGTAAATTCTTCTTCCGCCAAATTTGCCTTCTCTCTCTCCTACTCCACTCCTCCCCCATCACCCGCTTGTACGTCTTTTCGGCATCTTTTGTGGAGCTGCAGGGTAAGAGGTGACATTCGGTTGACACTTTGCAGTTTTAGTAAGAAAAAGTGGTATGCTGAGTAGTGAAATACAAGTCTACTGATTCTTAATTGGATTGTCTGGTTGATTGACTGATATATATAAATACACTCTGAAGGCTAAATTTTACCCTGAGAATAGCATTGCAGGTCTTAGCAAAGCACATTATCTCTGAGGATTTGAGAACCAGAGTCTGTCATTAGTCCAAACCGCTGATGTGAGCCTTTATTGCAAGCAATTCAGCTATTCTGATCCTCAGGGCCAGTGCATTTGTGCTGATGGATCCCTGAAAGTAAATGTTGCTTAGGAGGAAATAAAGATATTATAGGCCACCCACCAAATTTCTTTCATTACCATCCACCTAAAAAGGCAGCTCTAGAGCCAGCTTGTGCATCAAAACATACAACTGATCTTGCAAGGACTAATTTGACCTTTGTAGTCATGGCAGGGATATATTTTAAAATAGACACACATGACTGTGAAGAGATAGCGAAACTCCTGACCCATGACTTGCACAAGTAGGCATGTATTACTTCGGTCAGGCTGTGGAAGCCACTTATGGATTGTGTTTTCTATTACCTTATGAGCATTGGCAGCTTCCTAACTTAATAATTATCTGTGTTAACAACCCACAAGCTAGTATTAACATGTCACAACCAAAACACGGGTTATATGCCTTCCATAAATCCTATGCTTATATGATATGGGCTTTAAAATTCTGTAGTGCCCATTGCTTTGCAGAAGGATTCATGATTTAATGTAAATAATACTGAAATCAGTGTTTTGATATTTCCAGAATGGACTGTTTCTGAATACAGATTGGACCTCCCTGGTCTGGCACCCTCGGGACCTGACTGGTCCTGGATGAGTGATATTTCAGGACCAGGGGAGCTCATTTCTGGCTCCAC